ATCTTTTTTTTTTTTTTTCCTTTTTGATTTTGGGGTGAAACTCTTGACATGTTCTGTGGAATTATTCCATTAAGATCTCTTATATCTTAATATCTTAATTTTCAGGTACATGTCGAATTTCAGAGAACAGGTGAAGTTGGAGAAAGAGGTGAACAAAGTCCCCAGTAAAACTATGGGACCAGCAAAAGTGAATGTGCCGTCGCCACAGAAATATCTACTGAAACACTCCAAGGAACCCAAACTCCCTGAGAGTACATGTCTTGCATTTATTGTTTGAGACATTCTGAGAATGAATATATAATACTGACCTTTTTAAATACACAATCATACATGCCAATTTCATGCGTAGACGTGTTGAGACCACTGAAGGTATCCTAATTTTGCTTAGATCATTTATTTGTTACGTTTCAGAGAAACAATTTAAATATGAAGATGATGAGCTACATAGTAAACCACCAATACCTGCCAGAACAGACAAGCCGCTCATGGGTCTCCACACCAACAAGAACTTTATTAAGACCAACGCTGTTGAGAATATCATGGCATTCCCGAAGAAACCACAGCCTGTGTATACTTATACCAAAAAGGGAGACAAACAACTGTTGGAGAACTCTGGTCTCATCCCTAAATACATAAAGAAGAAGGTGAGAGGAGAGATTTGATGTTGAGCTTTATGTTTCAGATGCTCTTGTATTCCATGCATACAAAGCATACTGTTCACGGTACATACGGAATAGAGTAAACATAGTAAGAAAAGCCTCAGGCCTGTTTTTATGTATGTTCTCAGGACTATGGTCAAACTCCAGAGTACCTGCACCAGCGTAGAGAGGAAGTGAAGAAAGCACAAGAAGAATATGACAACTATGTCAAGGAACGAATGAGAGAAGGGGCCATGAAACAGCTTTCCGGTGAAGAACGCCACAGTATCCTACAGGTAATCAAATACAAATAAACTCTGAATGAAACCATTTCTAATTGTGAATAGCCTGTGTTTTGATGGAAAGCACATCGTCTTCCTCTAGAGCTTTTTATTGCAGAACTTGCAGCATTAATCTCCTGATGAGAAAGTGCTTGTATTTGTAGTTGTTCCTCAGTTTAGATAAAAGTATGAATAATGTTATATGAATAAATGTAAATTAATGAATGAACTTTTTTTTCATGATTTTTTTTTTTCCATTAAATTTTGAAGCAGAAAGACTGAAATAGTGCTTTCTTGTAAAACACACTCCAATAATCTGTTTTATTTACAACTTAAAAAAAATAATGTTTTTGAAAGAAGTCTTTTATGCTCTCAAAGGCTGTATTTATGTGAACAACAATGCAGTAAAACAGTAATATTATGAAATATATCATTACATTTAAAAATAACTGTTTAGAGTTTGAATATATTGAATGTATTTTGAATATATGTCATTTATTCTTACGATGGTAAATCTCAATGTTCGGCATTCTTCAGAGTCACATGATATGAATATGCTGATCTGATGTTCAAGAAACAGTTGCTGCTTAATATTTCTGTGGAAACTGTTACTTTTTGTCAGAATAGCATTTATTGTTAACAAAAATAAATCTTTTGTAACATGATAAAATACTCTAATTTTGAACAATTTAATGCATCCTTGCTTAATTAAAGTATCAGTTTCTTAAAAAAAAAAAACTTAAACTTTTAAATGGTAGTGTTTAAGAATTATACAATATTTGTATATATATATATATATATATATATTACAAGTAAATGTTTGATGACTTGATGACTTTTGGCAGGCTCTGAAGAAGAACTGGGACGATCTTCATTACCAGTACCAGGGCCTCTCTGTTGTCACAGACACAGCTC